GGCCTGACATGGCCCAACACAGCCTGACACGGCCCAACACGGCCTGACGTGGTCCAGCACAGCCCGATATGGCCCAACACAGCCCAACACGGCCCAACATGGACCAACACAGTCCAATATGGTGATCCAACATGGTCCAACCTGGCCAAATATGGTCCAGCACGGCCCAACACAGCCCAACACGGCCTGACATGGCCTGACACAGCCCGATATGACCTGACACGGCCCAACACGGCCCGACATGGACCAACACAGTCCAATATGGTGGTCCAACACGGTCCAACCTGGCCAAATATGGTCCAACACGGCCCGATATGATCCAACACGGCCCAACACAGCCTGGCATGCCCCAACGTGGACCGGCATGGCCTGGCACAACCCAACACAGCCCGACACGGTCCGGCATAGCCTGACGTGGCCCGGCATGGCCCAGAATGGCCCGACGCACACTGACATGGACTGTCCCAGCCTGGTACAGCACGGCACAGCCTCACACACCTCGTCGCCATCTCAGGTGTCCCATCGCAGCCCTGTCACAGCCTCTCGCATCATGGCCTCACAGCTTCTGTCATAGCCTCACGTGTCCCATCACGGCCTCACGTGTTCCATCCCGGCCCCCCACGTCCCACCACAGCCTCACGGGCCCCATCGTGGCACTATCATGTTCTCGCATGTCCTATCATGGCTTTTCGTGACCTGTCACAGCCCCATCACGACCTCGTGTGTCCCACCATGGCCTCGCACGTCCCACCATGGCCTCACGCATCTCGCCCTGGCCTCGCGTGTCCCATCGTGACCTCATCACGACCTTGCACGTTCCATCATAGGTTTTCATAACATTTCATGGCCTGCCATGTCCTGTCATGGCCCCGCACGTCCTGCCATGACCTCACACATCCCATCACGACCTCAAACATCCCACCGTAGCTTCGCATGACCTATCATCACCTTGCACATCCCACCTCGGCTCTGCACGACCCATCATGGAGCCATCGTGACCTTGCACATCCCATCACGGCTTTGAGTGACCCATCACGGCGCCACCATGACGCTGCACATCTCATCATGGCTTTGCGGGCCCAGTCACAGCCCACCATGGGCTCCCAGGTCCTCCCACGGCCCACCACGTCCCACCACCACCTCCCATGTCCCACCACGTCCCACCACCACCTCCCACGTCCCACCACCACCTCCCATGTCCCACCACGTCCCCCCACCACCTCCCATGTCACACCACGCCCCCCCACCGCCCCCCACCTCCCACCCCCACGTCCCCCCCAAAGCCTGGCACACCCTGCCCCACCCATCCCCAACCCCGTCGGGCGCTGACCCTCATTCTCATCCTTGAAGAGCTCCTCAGTGCCGAACTTGAGGATGTCATCAAGCTCCTGCTTGGACATGGAGCCGGCCTTGGAGCCCAGCCCCGGGCGCACTACCAAGTGCGTCAGCATCATCTTGCGCTTGGCCACCTGCGTGATGCGTTCCTCCACCGACGCGCGTGTGACAAACCGGTAGATCATCACCTTGTTGGCCTGGCCGATGCGGTGCGCCCGGCTGAAGGCCTGTGGGGACAAGGGACGCGTCAGCAGGGATGTGGAGGTGGGGGACACGTCAGGGCAGGGAAGTGGTGGTGGGGGACAGGGTGGGGGGACGTCAGTAGGGACGTTGTGGTGAGGGACACGGCGAGGGGGACATCGGAGCAGGGACACGGCGGGGGGGGGGGTGGT